AAACAAAAGTTAGCTTCATTTTATTCCTATGTTTTCCGTGCTCTTCAAGTTTGCTCCTCCAAACTAGCCCTTGATGAAGAACTAAATTATTTAAAAGCAATAGCTATTGACAGGGGCTTTTTCACCCAACATTATTAATCAAGCAGTTAAAAAATTCTCATCTCAACACACTAAAAGGCACACTCTTGTTTTAGGAGATTATAAAAATTCTGTTGTCATTCCCTTCTTTCCATCAATTAGCTATAAAGTTGCACATATTTTGCAGAAATTTAACTTTCGGGTTGTTTATTCTCCCATCAATAAAATTCCGAGTTCCATACTCAAGGACCCCATTCCGGATATGAATTCCTGGGGTATTTATAGGATTCCTTGCCAGTTGTGGTTTAATTTACATTGGCCAAACTAAGAGAGCCTTAAAATTTCGCGTCAAGGAACATGAGGCATATGTTAGAAAAAAGGAAACACAGAAGTCTTCTGTTGCTCAACATTGTTGGTCCGAAAATCACACTTTCAAGTTTTTCTGCTGCCAAAATTATTCAAAAAACATCTTCCATTGGAGAACTGGATTTTCTAGAGGCATTTCACATTCATAAAAATCTTTCTGTTCTAGTTAACGATCCTAATTCCAATCCAAATTTGCCTTCGGCCTTTAAAGAAATTATGTTTTAGTTCTGGTTTCACCAACAGATGGCGCCACTTGCTTATTCTTGTCCAGGCTTTCTTATCTTATCTAATCATTATTTCCTATCTGGTTCATTTGCGGTTTTGCAGCTGAAGATGGTGGTTCGGTAAAACCATCGAAACTAGTCCTGTGAAAATTTTGTAAATATAACGCTGATTTTTGTTGTTTGACTTCTGAATTAGTATTTATTCAGCGTGTTATTGTGTCTTAAATTCAGTACATGTTTATGAACTCTTTTCTTTCTTTTTTGAATTTCATAAATTTTAAATGATTAATATTAGGTTAAGATGTCTCATAAACAAAATAGCATTAAATTTGGGGGGGGGTTGAGATACTACTGGTGGTCTGTCATAAAGAATACGTTGGCACTGTTCTGTTATCAGGACCACATTCAGAAATGTTTGAATGCATTGCATGTAAGTATGTGTGGATGGATGAATTCATGCATGCATGTACGTATACATATGCGCATACACACATTTCTGAATATGGTACCAAGAACAGAACAGTACGAATATTTTAAGTAGTTAAATTATTAATAAACAATAAGTTTTCCCCCTCATTTTTTGGCTGTTATTCACAACTTATCTTTGGAATTAATACAGTCAAAAGTCGTTAATCCCGACTCGTCGGGACTTCGGCGATTCCGGATTATAGATCATCAGTTTAAATCTGGTAAGATGGCATGCAGAAATTATAAAATTAAAAATATGAAACTGTAATTTATGAAATAAAGAAGAATTATGATCTAAAGGGTATCAAAATTTACAAAAAAAAAAAAAAAAAAAAAAAAAAAAAAAGCTTAATATTTATTTGTTTACTTTATTAAACATTTCTTTCAATGTAAGTTGTTTAAGTTGCTTCGTTTTTTATGTGATAATACTTTCTCTTTGATTCTATAAACAGACAAATTTCTTGTTCAGTTACAAAGTTCCGCTGTTCAAGTCCTATAATTGCTGTGTCTACCAACTAATTTGTCAATCGAAAATTTTTCGTTTTCAATAACCTCTGTTACTTTCTTCGCTATCAGAAGCGAATTATAATGACGAGGAATTTGATTTAAATCATATCAAAGACGGAGTACATTGAGATAAAATACTACACTTAGTAAGGAATTACAAGCCAAATAAAATAAAAACATCTGCCCTGAAGATAAGGATAGTGCTGACAGATCAACTTCCAATTCACTGCGCGTCGCAGCATCCCCCCCCCCCCCGCCGCAGAGCAGCGTGAAATTGATAAACACATTTCGGAATGGTTAGATAAACAAAGAATATGCCTTTATCCATTTTTTTGCAGCAATTCCACTTTTTGTTTAATGGACTTCAAAACATACTTTCGCTTTGTAGATCCTTTACATATTAGTAAATATATATCAGAAATTATATTTGACATAATCGAAAGTTCCAGCTTACTTTTATAAAATTGCTCTAACAGTCTTCAAAAAATAAGCCTGATCTAATTCGAAGATTAAGGAACAACGCAATCTGCAACATTAACTGAATTAGATCATTTTAGCTTAGCTTATACCGTCCGTTATACATTAAACGTGCATGCGTAAACGTATTTTGGGCATGCGCACATGCATATTCGCAGCCGTAAAGGTCTTACGCGCACGCGTAAACACCACACATACGCAGAAAGTTTGTAGCTTTGAGGTCCGGATTATAGATCATTCTGGATTATGGGTGTCCGAATTAACGACTTTTGACTGTATATCCATCTTAATTCAGCATGCTTTCCTTGGTATTTTTCTTCAAGACACTCTTATAACCTTCAACAGGCTCAATTTATCATAAAAACTGACAATCCCAAATACTGATAATTATTAGAGATTAGATAATAATTATCAGTATTAGGACTTCTGAGACGACAAGCTTTATAAGTATAAACTATCATCTTAAGAAAGCTTCATTTTATTGCTGACTAGATAAATATATTGTGTGCAAATGCCCTACAAGTAATAAGAAAATCAGCATTTCCACAAGGCTAATTTAATGATTTAAAATGCAGATTTATATGAATTAAATGTAATTAATGTTAAGCAAAATTCATACTCGCATTTTTTTAATTATGCAAAAAAGAGGGGCAATTGAATGTACAGGATGTGAGTCAGAAGTTTCAAGACTGGTTCATTTCTGAGTACGGGAGTGCGCACGGACCGGTTCCACCTGGTGGGGTGTCTCGGGAACGAACTGACGCTGCGGCAGTTGCCTCCGGAACTCAGGAGAGTGTGCATCGCTTGCAGAGTGAGTGCGTGTCATTGACCTGGGTCGAAAAGTGGGAGAGGCAAAAATGGAGCAGCACTTGGAGCAACATTATGGGATTAAATTTTGCGTGCGACTGAACAAAATCTCCATGGACACTAACGGTATGATTCAAGAGGTCTTTAACCCTCTCACTGCATACTTTTTTTAAAATCAAAATATGTTCAAAAATCGCATATTTTTATTACATATTTCAAATCTACATATGTTTTAGAGTAAAAATATAAAAAAATATTTTTGTAAAAGAGGTTTTTTTCAATATGGAATTAGATCATAGAAAAAGGTTGTCAGAATAGTGAAACTGAAGAATAATTATGTAAAAGGAAAATTTTGAAAATTAATATTGGTTAAATTATGATTTATTTTATAAAATACAAAGGTAAAACATATATATTATATATATAAATTTTTTTCAATCAATCAAAACATATATATCAATTTTGCACCACTGTCGAACGTTTTTGATAGAAACTGAATTTTCAGATTCATCACTATTTGCAGAGGATTCCAAGAAATTCTCATCAGTTTCGCTATAACTATCTTCAGTATACTTGAAGTCAGAGTCAGAACTACTATCAGTGTCGGAAATATCGTCAAGGATATACATTATATCACTCGTGAAACACTTCCTGCCAGACATCTTTGAGCTCTGAAAAGCACACGCAAAATGCTACATTACGTATTCATGTATATTTGGCAGAAATGTGGACAACTAATGTCATCAGTTAGTCCACATCTAATTAAACAATTAATAATCACAAAAAAGCAGAAAACAAACCCTGAACGGGGAAAGAGCGGGTTGCGCAGTTAAATAGATGGCAAAATTTCATACCAGCGGAAATCGCGGGTTGCACAGCGAGAGGGTTAAGGAAAGAAGAAGCCATGTTCCGTGCAATGGTTTTCATGTGACACAAACGCTTCATAGATGGGCGTGGAAATGTTGAAGACGATGACCGCTCTGAGAGGCCATCATCAAGCCGAACGAATCAAAATGTGGCGAGAGTGCGGGAACTTTTAAACAATGACCGTCGTCTTAGTACTAGATTAACTGCCGATGAACTGGGACTCGGTCAGAATATGGTGTGGAGGATTGTGATGGAGAATTTGATGATGCGAAAATTGAGTGCGAAACTGGTGCCTAAAGTTTTGTCAGTGGATCAGAAGAAATGGGGCATGACTGTTTGCCAGGAAATGCTCCAACGGTTGAATGTTGATCCGAACCTTTTGGAGAAAGTGGTTACTGGTGATGAGACCTGGGTTTACAAGTATGATCCTGAGTCGAAGCGTCAAAGCTCAGAATGGCACACTGCTTCCTCGCTGAAGCCCAAGAAATCTCGCATGAGCAAGTCGTGTATAAAGTGCATGCTGTTTTTTTTTTTTTTTGATGGTAAAGGAGTGATTCACAAGGAGTTTGTTATTCGTGGACAGACTGTTACAGGTGACTTTTACGCTGGAGTGCACTGACGCTTGAGAGATTTAGTCCACCGCATCCGCCTGGTGATCAAATTCTCCCCCACAACAATGCGCCCGCTCACACGTTGCGTGCAGCCGCCGAAGTTTTGGTCAAGTTCAACGCGACAACACTGCCGCAGCCACCCTATAGCCCTGACTTGGCTCCAAGTGACATTTTCCTCTTACCCTAAATCAACACAGGCTTAAAAGGGAAGCTATTCGACTTCACTGACGCCAGACCTTGACAGCATGATGCCCGATGCCTTCCAGAAGGGGTACGAACAGTGGAAGACGAGCTGGCAGCGCTGTGTTGATGCTGAAGGATCATATTTTGAAGAATTTTAGTCCACTGTACTTGTCCAATAAATTTCTAGTTCTGAGGTAAGTCTTAAAACTTTATGAATCACACCCTGTAAGTAACAGCAGAACAACACTGAAATGTAATAACAGAAGTTGATTCTTACTTTCTGAATGCATTTGGTTCATACAGACTTTATCAACATCTGAGAATATTTTAACGAATCAGAAGGTTTTTAAAACTTAGATCTTTTAAAAAAATTTACTCTTAAGCAGAAATATTGAAATCAATAAATACTTACGATAACCACATTTCTTACAAGCAGGTCTTATGTTATCCACAACCTGATTAGTGAGTCTTGCCATTAACTCTATAAATATATTTTAGTTTTTAAAAATAATCAACCTCTCCAAAAAATTAAGTACATTAATAATTATTAAAATACACAATACATTGCAAACTACCTAGGAAAATAAAAATTAAAGAAATTTTAATTTATTAAAATTGACTTCATATTTTTATATGCTTTGGGGTCATAAAAGGATTTCTTGATACTATCAAACATACGGCATCTTATTCCAGTTACAAACAATAATAGCAAGAATCAAGTGTAATAAATTTTACCATTAATTACTGCTGGCACTCTTCTTGGTCTGACTGTTCCTTTCGAGATTCAAGACTTTTCGCCAGTTTTTTAGACTGGACGGAAGTTAGGCTCTAGGTAATATGGTTCTCCTAAATACTCTTGAATGGAGAACTGGATTTAAAAAAATGTTTGTCAAGTTTAATAATAATTAGATAGTAGAATTAAATAAGAAAACCTTGTTTGTACCTTGCGAAATATACAGTTCGCTGAAAATAAAGAATAATCACTGGTCTAGAGGACTAATGGGATTTAAAGATGATGATGTTCTATTAGACAAAGACTAATGCAGGATATTTAAACAGACTGAACTGGAACATAACAGTATCAAGTTATTTTGTATGGATTTTAATTATCTGTGTATTGTTGTTCTATAACTAAGATTGCATCAGTATGGTAGTATCTGATTTTGTAACAATTGTTTTAACTTGAAAGTGCTTTAGTGATTCAAATGCTTACTTTTAACTTTTGTAATGTCTGTTTATGATTATAATGAGGGCAGGATGTTGGCACTCTCTCATTCTGTTTCATTCAAGGTTGAAACTTTTCACTAGTTTTTTAGTTTGGATGGATTCACCAGGTTTTTAGCTTGCCCCTTGGATTATCTCAAAGTTGTTGTTTCATTTATGGTAATCTGAGTAGTTGAATATTATGGAAACCCTATTATGACGTAATTGGTTGCACAACTGCAGTGAATTTGAATGATGAGAAAAGATTTGTAAGGGCTTGTGTGCGTTGGATGTTGGTTAGGAAGTAAGTTGCTTCTTATTTTGTGGTTTACACAGTAAAATGGCTGAATGTGGTAAGATTAATTGGTAAAAATATATTGACGTGTACCCCTTGGCGAAACTTGCCGTTTTTGGCGGTACATGGACACCAAGAATTCTTTAATTTGTTATTTTGCCTTTGTATGGTGGCGATTTGTACACATCGATGTACACATCGACCTATTTTCAGGTAAAAAAAATCAGAGAATTGCACAAACTTGGTATTGCACACTCACTTGTCTTTATCCATGTACACATCGATCTATTTTCACTTAAAAAGTCAAAGGAGCAACCAATCCTACACTAAAGCCTAACAAAAAAATATATAATCTCAATAAACTACATTTTAAATCAAACAATGGGTAAAACTGGATATTACGGTCCAGTTTGGCGTGTTTTCAAATAATTGATAAGTTGCCAAATCGCTTGTTTTCGTGCATTTTAGAAAATCGCTAACTCATCATATCGCCATATTAGATGGTTGCGAATTTGAATTAATTCTGTAGACATGCAAAAAATAGATCATGCAAAAATATCTAAAACAGGACTTCAAGAAAAACAACGAAAAAGGGAGAAAGTGCAGAATCACCCACTGCTTGGAGTGTTTTTAAGAATTGCACGTATCCATGTACACATTGACCTATTTTCACTTTAAAAAAATCCCAGAATTGCACAAAAATGGCATTGCGTACTCCCTTGATTTTATCCATGTACACATCGACCTAATTTTCACTTCAAAAAGGTCAAAGAAAATTGACAAAAATCCAATTCTTCTTACTCTTGCAAATGCCAAATAAGTATGCGATTCTGCACTTTATCTAAAGTATTTGAAAGTTAATAACTATGCATTTTATCGGATCAACAATGTTAAAAGTTTTCATAATATCATATACTATTTTTAAGACAGTAGCAAATTGGAGTAAAGCATTTTATCACGAAATTTAAGAAATTGTAATAAGCAGTAAATGAGCAATAAATGATCAGAAAGCATCGATTCGTATTTAAGCCAAGAAGTTACTAGATTTGGCGCGATTTCGCTTCACTTGGCTCACTTGGATCGTAATCTTCAGTCTAGCCAAACAATGAAATAACATAAAAAAGAAAATTCATCTTAGCACTACACAAAGGAAATATCCACTTACTGTATTTAGAAATTTCCATGTCTTCAGTCACACAAAATTCCTTAACAGCACCCAAACACTTCCTAAAATTATCTGAACTAGAATCTGTATACTGGCATCGCCACATAAATTCACAAAAATAAGAGTGAAAAGTATCCTCTGTAGTGCCGGTATTCTGACATTCGACCATACTTCTTTCTTTTGTACAAACAGGACACTTATAATGGCTTCTAAGTAAACCTTTATTTACACACAGTTAATTAATGCTTTTTTCCCTTTTGTTTCAAATTGTACATAAATTTAAATTAATCAGTTACAGTAGAGAGATGGGTACCCCTTGTATTAGAGCAAAGTTGTTGTTTCATTTATGTTAGCCCGAGTAGTTGAATGTTATGGAAACCCTATTATGACGTAATCAGTTGCATGACTGCGGTAAATTCGTAAGAACTAATGAGTGTGTTGGTTAGGAAGTATATTGCTTGTTTAGTGGTTTAGACGTTAAAATAGCTGAATGTCATAAGATTAATTTGAAGTTTCTGTATGATTTGGAAAGAAGGTTATTTAGTAGCCATTATTAAGTATCCTGTTTGTAGGAAGGAAATGCATATGGTCAAATGTTGGAATGGCGCTAGGGAGGATATTCTGTACATTTATGTGGCGACGCCAGTATACAGATTTTAGTTCAGATAATTTTAGGAAGTTTTTGGATGTTGTTAAGGAATTTTGTTTGACTGAAGACATGTTAATTCATAAATAAGGTAAGTGGATATTTCCTTACCTTGATGCAAAGATGAATTTTCTTTTTTGTGTTATTTCATTGTTTGATTTAAAATGTAGTTTATCGAGATTATATATATTTTTTTGTTTCGCTGCTCCTTTGACATTTTAAGTGAATATAATTCGATGTGTACATGGACAAAGTCAAGGAAGTGTGCAATGCATAGTTTGTGGAATTATCTGATTTTTTTAAAGTGGAAATAGGTCGATATGTACATGGATAAAGTCAAGGGAGTAAACAAAGCCTAGTTCGTGGAATTCTCTGATTTTTTTTAAGTGAAAATAGGTCAATGTGTACAAGGATACCAAGTTTGTGCAATTCTTTGTCTTGTTATTTTGGCTTTGCGCACAAAGAATTGCACAAACTCGGTATCCATGTACCGCTAAAAATCATCAATTTTTGCCAAGGGGTACCTGTAAATATATTTTTACCCTTCTGATTATCTGCATCACTGCTGAAAATTCACGAAAAAGTATTTTTTGGGTTGATCTTTTTTTTTTTTTTTTTTTTTTTTTTTTTTTTTTTTTTTTTTTTTTTTTTTTTTTTTTTTTTTTTTTTTTTTTTTTTTTTTTTTTTTTTTTTTTTTTTTTTTTTTTTGTTTTTTTCCCGCCGCCATTTTGTCTTCACAAAGTAAAGACATGTTACTTTTCTTTTTATCTACTGAACACTTCTTCCAACAATCTACTAGCCGAATTACACTTATGCTAGAAATTTTATCTAACAAAACTGCTTAATCATGACAAATATTCACTGCAAAATTGGGAAAAAAATGCACAATACCATACTCCTTACGGGTTTTTCAAAATAACACATACACATACACATAAACCACGTACACCGTCGAATTATTTTTACTAAAAAAAAACATCCCAGAATTACACAAAAATGGCATTGCGCACACTCTTCACTATATCCATGTACACTGCTTTTTTTCTCATAAATTAGAAAAATTTCACGAAAATACATGACAATTTTCTTTTCTGAATCTTTAAACCCGGTAAAAAGAACATATATGATGAATTACCTGATCGCGAAAAAGTATAATACCCTTTCCAAATATGAACATTTCCACATATAAAATAAATAAAATATCCAAAAACTTTTACCTCTAAAACATCTATTACATTATACACGTCACCAACGAATTCATACTGCAAGCATTACAAGTACTTAGTATCAAATATTTAAATTATTTCCATGCACGTTTACTTCAACTGAAACGTATACCAAATTCCTACAAACATAAAATTCACAAAATAACTATCATTTAATTAAAATATAATTAAATTCAAAAACACTACTTAAAATATAAATGAGCACATACATTAAATTAATAAAAATTACCTTACAATCCTAATTACTTTAAACTAAATCATTGCTAATAACAATTTTCCCAATAATACCAAATTCCTTTACTTCCACCTTACATTTAGAACAATGCATAAAAATAATATCCTCAAATAATTAAAAATACTAACTTACCTCATCTTCTTCAGAATCTTGATTACGTGTCCGATAAACTTTCTTTAGTTACGGCCATGGGATCCAAAAATTCACGAACACTGTTTCACACAACAGAGAATAAACCAAATACAAAATTTCCAGATTTTTTCCTGATTCCCCCCCTTTTTCGATTAAAGAACCGTAATTCGTCCATTAATATCACATGACATATCCCATGATCTCTCATTTCCCTCACACAAAATAATGCGTAATCGGAACTGAGTACTGCTCACATTATTACCAAAGTCCCAGGTAGTAACCTTTATCGCCTCTAAAATGTCGCCAAACTACCAGTTACCATATTGTAAAGATCAACCGATTAGGTAAGTTAGTATTTTTAATCATTTGAGGATATTATTTTTATGCATGTAAAGAATAAATAAATGTAAGGAATAAATAAATTAATATGGTATTATTGGGAAATTGTTATTAGCAATAATTAGTTTAAAATTAATTTAGCTATTTTTCTTAATTTTTAATGTATGTTCTTATTTTTTAATTTTAAGTAGTGCTTTTTAATTTAATTATATTTTAATTTAATGAGCGTGATTTGTGAGTTATATTAATGAGCATGTTGGGGTAAATTTTATTAATTTCTTATTAGTGGGTGCATAGACTGCCAGTTGAGTACTGAATTATTGAATCTATAAGAATAAGAAAAGTTTATCCGCCATGCAATCAAGATTGTGAAGAAGATTAGTAAGTTAGTATTTTTAATCATTTGAGGATATTATTTTTTGCATGTAAAGAATAATAAATGTAAGGAATAAATAAATTAATATGGTATTATTGGGAAATTGTTATTAGAAATAAATTAGTTTAAAGTAATTAGGATTGTAAGCTAATTTTTATTAATTTAATGTATGTTCTTATTTATATTTTAAGTAGTGCTTTTTAATTTAATTATATTTTAATTTAATGAGCGTGATTTGTGAGTTATATGTTTGTAGTATTTTGGAATACATTTGAGTAGAAGTAAATGTGCATGGAAAGAATTTAAATATTTGACACTAAGTATTTGGAACCATCTTTAATGTTTGCGTTATAAATTCGTTGGTGACGTTTTATAATAGATAATTTAGAGGGAAAAGTTTTTGGATATTTTATTTATTTTATACGTGCAAATGTTCATCCTTGGAAAGGGCATATATACTTTTTGCGATCAGGTAATTTCATATATGTCCTCTTGTAATTTTACCAAATTTTTTATTCTAATATGAGAAAAAAGCAGTGTACATGAATATAGTGAAGAGTGTTTTTTGCCATTTTGTATGCTGGGATTTTTTTTTTAAGTAAAAATAAGTCGACGTGTACATGGTTTAATTATATTTTAATTAAATGATAGTTATTTTGTGAATTATATGTTTGTAGCAATTTGGAATACGTTTCAGTAGAAGTAAACGTGCATGGAAATAATTTAAATATGTGACACTAAGTATTTGCAACATTTTTAATGTTTGCGTTATAAATTCGTTGGTGACGTTTTATAATAGATAATTTAGAGGGAATAGTTTTTGGATATTTTATTTATTTTATACGTGGAAATGTTCCTCCTTGGAAAGGGTATAAACTTTTTCGCCTCAGGCGTTAATTTCATATATGTGCTTTTTACCGAGTTTAAGATTCACACAAATTTTCCTGCAAATTTTTCTATTTTTATGAGAAAAAAAGCAGGTACATAGATAAAGTGAAAGTGCGCTTTTTTAAGTAAAAATTTTGTCGCAATTCTGGGATGTTTTTTGTTACTTGTACATGGTTACTGTGTATGTTCGATTCTGAAAAACGCTGGAAGGAGTTTGCGATTCTGCACTTTTTCCCAATTTTGCAGTTAATATTTGTCATCATTAAGTAGACAAATGTTATTCCATAAAATTTCTAGCATAAGTGTAATTCGGCTAGCAGATTGTTGGAATGAGTGTTCAGTAAATAAAAAGAGAAGAAACATGTCTTTACTTCGTGAAGACAAAATGGCACCGAAAAAAAAAGTAGAAGGTTGCTGTAGCAGAGTTGGTCGCTAAATTTTCGCCAACAAATCACCAAGTTACCATAATCCAAAGATCAACCAGCAATTCTTTTCAATTACACATAAACGCAATAAAAATTTCGGATTTACTTTATATAGGGGCATGGGATCCAAATATTAAACAACACTGTTTCACAGAACATAGAATGAAACTAATGCTGTACAGCAGATATTTTTACAAATTTACCCCCTTTTCCGATTAAAGAACAGTGATTCGTCCATTAATGTCACATGACATATCTCATGATCTCTTCATTTCCTCCTCACACAAAATAATGCGTAATCGGAACTGAGTACTTCTCACATTATTCCCAAAGTCCTAGGTAGTAACCTTTATCGCCTCCAAAATGTCGCCAAACTACCTGTTACCATAATTCTAAAGATCAGCGAAAATGGTATAACTGATTTTAAAACTATTACGCAAATGAACAACAGTTACGTCTCATTCTCTTTTTTTCAAGATTCAATCATGGGCAAATTTAAATGATCATACGGAACTTTCTTTTTCACAGCATAAACGATGATCAAACTACGCAAAGAGTAGATTTCAATTATATAAATGAATAAATCAAAATAATTCCTTTACAGAAAACATACGCTATTTTTTTTTTGGAAAAAAATAATCGAGCTGTAAAACGGCAACAAACTTTTGAACACACACGAAAGGGTACGAATTTAAACGCAGAAAGGGGTTAATTACACTCATGTCACAAGAACATGCCATATACAATAACAACTCATTATTAAATGTTTCAGATTAAGGTCACTTACACGTATAAAATAACAAAACACTACTAACCTTTTAAGCTACTTTCCATTGTGATATGATAGACACAGAACGTAAAATTATGTACAATTACACATATTACAACGTGAACGTGAATGAGTTACAACTCTCAAAACAAGGACAGACAGACAGATGACAGCAGTCTTGTTTTGCACCCGCTAAGTCGTTGTCACCGATGGGCGAAAAATCAACGCTTAGGTGCGAAGGAAAGGTATATAGAAAGGGGAGCAATTTCATATTTCAGAGAGAGTAAAAAAGAACTTCGTACATTTTGTACGAGTTCGAAAGGCCAGGAAGAAAAAATGGGACAAAATAAAATTTAAAATAAATGGCTCAAAAATAATAGAGGGGAAAAAAAGGGGGGCTATAGAAAGAAAAAGAAAAGAAGTAGAAAATATTCTAAAATACGATTGTGTCCATGAGTGTAATCAAAAGGAGAGGAAGCAGTGTTCATTTACAATAAATAGTGTCTCACAGGTGTGTGTATTGAGTGTGCTTGATAATACTGAATAGATGTGATACTGTGGGGAAAAAATAGAAAAGAAAGGGGCAGTGTTAAAATGCTTCGTATCAAGGTATTTAGTATGGAATACGAAGTAATAGATGTGATATATATATATATATATATATATATATATATAAATTACGGAGTATATGTATTAAAAACATAAATTAAACGTAGTATTTGTTAATTTAACTATCATAATTTATTTTAAGTTTAATTATTTTACTATCATAATTTGTTACTTGTTAATTAATGCTAGTTTAACACATTGAGGCACACTGTTATTTATATAAGCTCATAATTCTAAGAATTTATTTAAGGCAATGAAGAATAATCTATCTCTCATGTTTGGACATTTAACAGATAGCAAAGAACAGTATGAGGAAAAAAAATCGATGAGGTATAAAATTTAAAGGCGAAAAAATATGTAAGCGATCTGAAAGAAAAGGAAACAAAAAAATCGGAGAGGGAAGTAGCGCAATGCCCAAAATCCCCTCTCACCAGATTCCTCAAAACAAGATAAGGGCGGTCACATTAAATACAGACTTGATCCTTGCTTCCCCCCCTGTACGAAATTTCACCATAGATTGGGCCAAAAGAGTCTCATTTTCCCACCAGTTTGTATTACGTTGTGAAGTGAATCGTGACTGATATGAGAAATTACGTGCAAGTAAACCGTATTTTTGCGTCTGCAAAGCTAGAAATTATAATAAATCGGCTATTATTCATCTAAATGAAATGAATATGGAATTTGAAAACAAACTGGGAAATCTTCCAGTAGTATTTCAAGATTATCTGAAAACATTTCATTCAAAATGACAGTGCATTCACGTGTGAACCATAAATAAACTTCCTCATTATTTATAAATAAAATCTTGATAAATGAACTTCCTCATTGTATGTAAGATTTTAAAAGTGTGAACTGCTGCTTTTTGATAAATTTGTGCATTTCCATTCAATTTCTTTTTATTGATGTTGGTTCGACCCGTGGTTGATAAAGAATAAGTCTGTACACCGTTTTTCTTCAGAACGCTTTGCCAGTTTTCATTCATCATGATAATTAGTATCTAACTTTATTATTGTATATATTATCATCTATAAGACATTTTAATCATTTACGAAATATTAATAAATTATTCCAAAAGTGAGCCTTTGAACTGCTTACTTTCATATACTAAGAACACATAGTGAATTTGAGTTTCAGAAAGCAGCGCTTCCTTTTACTCGGTATCACGTGAAGAACATCAGTAAAACAAAAAGACGAAAGTAAAAGTCAGGTTTCCGCCATCAGTCGACGAAAAAGGTGAGTGTCTGGTCGAAGGTCCAAATCAGTGGACTGAAGAATCTAATATAAGTAAAAAATGTTAAGGATGGAGAATGTCAGATGGATATTTGTGCTTTTCTTTGGGAAATGGAGAACATCTAAGAGAGTTGATGCAGTTGTTAGGATGAGTTAGAACTGAATAGAAGAAATTTCTGGCAAGTTTTTGAATATAATCTTGAACTGTACATACTTTGAGATCACGTGGGATATACGAATTTGGAATGAACCATGGCGCGCTTGATGATCTCTCTGAGTGCTTTGTTTTGAAGAATTTGGATGTGTTGAAGGTGAGTTTTGGCAGCGTGGCCCCAGACAGGACTAGCATAGAGTAATGCTGGTCGAAGTATAGATTTATATAAGAGGAGTTTATTAGAAACGGACATATGACATCTTCTGCCAAGAAGCGGGCGCATAGTTGCAAGCGTGATATTGATTTTTTTCACAGTTTCCCTGAGATGTTTCTGAAAAGTCAATTTTTTTATCAAGAATAACTCCTAGATATTTAACTTCGTCAACCCAGTCAATTTCTTCATCAACAGAAGAAGTCTAGGTGGAGTGAAATTTGTTTGCGAAAAATTATTGCTTTTGATTTTTTTTTTTGTATTAACCCATTAACAAGCCCGCCCTTCAGAACGAAATGCTTTGAAAATGGCCGTCAGTTAACAAAACCCTCCAAAAAATCGCTTTCGCTTTCTGAAATCTCTCTAAGATGGCCCAGCCTAGGGCAGTATGTTTACTTCCCCTTAGTGTGATGGATAAGCCATAAAATTGCCTCCCAGCTATTGAATGACAAGAAGTACTTGTCGCGTTAGTTTCATCTCCCTCCTCTTTGTACTTGTAGCTTGTAGACCTGTTTCTTTTAATATGTGACGTCCGAATTTTCCGAAATCTGTTTAGAATTCTATCTTCCAAGCTTGTAAATTTTCAATTATTCGACATGTTTTATTGGGGATTATTTTAAGAAAGATCCTTATTTATTTTGTTACACAATTTTTTTACTATTTACTTATCTATTTTATTTAGTTTTAGTAGGCCAATTTATTTTGGAAAATTAAATTTTAATCCATTTTTTTTACCGACGCAGTTTTTTTCACATTATAAGTCCATATATGTTTACGATGAGAGTACAATATTTATCAGGAATTTTCGGAAAATTTGGCGTACGTATTTATATTTTAGCGTTGAATTTTTTCCACAAGTTGTTCGTTAACAGTCGAGCTCATCCTTGTAAACGCTTGATCTTTTCAACATGGAATTGGCAAGCAGTAATTTTAATTTATTTAATAAATTATAGTACTGAAATGACATAGAATATAAGAATAATTATAGTCTATTTAAATAAATTTCTATTTTCATTTAAAATTTCCCATTATTAGCACCTCCCGCAGTTTTATGTAATTATAGGATTTTCCGAATTCTATTAAGTCCTTAACATAATAGACCCAATAGAAAAGTGATAATATGGAAAGACTGTGTCTTAAGTACCAATAGCCAAGTATTTGTAATTAAATAATTAAATAAAAATAAATATTGAATACTAGCCGCTTTTTTATTTATTTTTACTCATATAAAAAAGATAAACAAAAATACTATTACATCTAAAAATTATTTAAAAAATTATTTTGCTAATTTTATATGAATGAGGAAACACGTAAAAAATGTTTTAATGATTGAATTCATCGTTAAAAATCAAACAAACCCCAAAATTCCTTTTTCCCCAAAACTGCGTAAAATGTTTTGATTAAATACGATTTCAATGAGTTTTCCAACTCTGTTTCGAGTGACATAAATTAGGATATAAATATTATTAAATTAGGATATAAATATTAGGATATAAATTATTATTACTAATAATTTTTATATTATAACTTAGCAGAATATGTTTACCGTTAAAAATTATATCTAAAAGAATTAAATTTTGTAAAAGAATAAAAAATAAAATTAACTGTTCCATTTTGTCCTTTATGCATCTATTTATACAAAAATAGAATCTGGCTAGGAAATTTACGACTTGTATATGAACTAAAAATTAGTATCTTGACAAAACTTGTCAGAGCATAACAAGCGTATATTCTGTGATATTAGTGTATTAATCATACTTCTGTATACGTAAATACAGTTTATAATTATTAGCATAAGTATCGTAATGGATTTTATTAAAACGGCGAAAACTGAATGCATGATCCTGAGCATTATCATACTACGGCTATCCCGTTAAGTATTGCTTGGGTCGTAACCACCACGAGTTTTATTTTTGAAATATTAGTCCAAATAAAACAGGAAGCGTTAAACGATATGCATTTTAAACAGTTTTACTTTTTTATATGCATATAAATGTTAAGTTGTTTTAAATTGTACTTCATTTCTGAAACTTCTGCGGTACTATTTTTAGAACAGATCAAGAACTTTAAAGAACAAGTACACTTTAGCAATATGCAACGTTAATGACAACGTTAATGAGTTCAAATGTTACTGAACAGCTGTACGATTTGTAACTGGCACTGGAAGAAGCAAAATTTATCTGATGATCCAATCTTCATTTAATAAATTAATAGAGAATGATACAGGGTAAGCTCTGTATGCTGGTCAGCATGTTAGTTACATACGAAAGCTAAACTACTTTCTTTTTTTCCACCGACAGTGAGGCAGCCAATCCACTGGGGCAGTTAGCATAGGCAAACTACTATTTGTTTGTACAAAACTGGACTAAAAGCTTACAGCTTATTTTAAATAAATTCGTATACTGAATACAGCTCCTCCGAAAAGCGCTCTTTTCTATCTTATTTGTTTTAGATTTCAGATTAAAGGAAAATAATCAGTTCTGTTTCTCAGAGACGGCATTCCTGCCTGTTGGTTTTTCGTGGTTTTCTACATGTGCAACCCAGTTTCCCACTGAAAGGCCTCCACGAAGGCCCATAGCTCTCGTATGCTTTGTTATATTTAAATAACCCTAACCCTCCTACTACGATAACTATCACACTAAATTAGAGTAGAAGATTTTGAAACAAGATTTTTAAATAAGACTCCGGATCCCCACTGACAGAGCATCTAAAATCGCTAAGCACAGCTAGCTCGACCCGGGTTCAAATCCTGGCCAACGAGCTGGTTGCATGGAAGTTTTCTTGGCTTTTTTTACATGTGGAACGAGAATATAAGTCAGATCCTCTTAGAAAGTTTCCTTCCTCTTGGACAGACAAACAATTGCGTGCTTCGCCGTAATCCAAATACATTAAATCCATCTGTACTGATAGCTATCATTCAATCTTTGTAAAGAAATATTAAGGTAAAAACATGTAAATATCAAATTTGCTTTAGATTGCAAATATTTTTAA